TCTCATCTGTAAGCTCATTTAATAAACCTTGAATGAAAAGAAATGTCAGAAATTTGAAGTGAATTTAAAATGTCAGGTCAAAGAAGCCAAATCCTATAGAGTTTGGCAAAACAGCAGGAAATTGTACAAGTGTGAGAGAAAATGTAAAGATAAATAAGGTAAATATATACAGTATGTAAGATATTACACTGCTAAAAACAAATTATGAAGGAATTCTCCAGAAGGCTACCTTTTTTGTTATGACGTTGTACAGCTGTTCTCTGTGAGACTTCTGCGGGTCTGCAGACAAATTTCTGAAACGCAGGCTAGTGAGTGAGTGAGCAATTTTGTGAATGACAGATTAAAGTGCTTGCGTTATCCCCTCCACGCAAAGCTTGGATTATGACCGAATTCAAACTGACGTGAACTGCTGTCTCTTTAAATCTGATCATATTGTTACTGCATCGGATAGCAGAATCATTATGGTATTTTGTCATTGATCAATAATTGTGATTGGATCCATGGAAGGGAAATAGACCGATTATTTCAATCAGCCTCCTGTAAGACTTCTACTAGTGTTTTAGACAGTTTGCTAGCTAAATTGTACCAGCTTTTTAGAAACAGTATTAAAAGGTTATTCCAAGCATCATGACCACTACAGCCCGCACCAGTACTCTGGCCCCTTTTTGCAGTAATGGGGCTAACCTGAGCAGCAATGGATGGCTGTGATCGGCTGGGTGTCAGCTGACAGTTTTCAGCCTATCACAACACGTATTGCTGGTATGAATTGGTATAGCTAGAAGACAATGTGTAATCTCTGCTTTAGCCATTCCTCCAGTGGAGGGCTGAGCTACCGGTAACAGGTTATCATATTTAGTGTTAAACAGCTTAAAAATGGTTTAACACTAAAAGGAACAAAAGCGCCAGGGACACCAGGCACTATAAGCAATTCAATGAGATAAAATGGTTATAGTAATCACACTGTCCTTCTAAGTAGGCATGTGACTTAAGTTACCACAGAGAATTTTAACAACCTTTTCTCCCCATATTTCTTTTATTTATTTTCTATTCTGACACACCTATAATGGGTGTTGGACATAAAGATTTGTCTTATTAATGCTGTATCAGCACATGCTTTTCTAGTGACAATAATTATATCCTGATTAATATCCAGATTGTCACATTAGTGATTGTTATCATTATTCAGTTTTTACCATTCATCCCTCCCAATGTCTTGCGTATTGTTGATGCCTACGATTAAGCGTTCTTTGTAAAGAACGTTTAATCATAGGCAACACTAAAGTTCACAGTTTTGCACTGCTTGCTGAGAGCTGATACAAGAACATGTCTTTTTTTGTAATGACACTATGTTCTTATGTAGTAACAATGTGTAACATACTACAGATCACATATTGGGAAGGTACATAAAGGTAGATTCCAGAATAGTAGACTTCCCTCTTTGGGACTCATACTCACATATTTCCTTTCAAGGAGACCATAGGACTCTGAAATGCTTATTTACTAAAGTGTGGATTGTTGAGAAGTGAGTTTCAAACTTTATTCCAAGATAGCCGAATGGAAAATAGGACTTGGACAAATGTTTGTTTAACCCCAAACTTGCTAAGAATGTTCCCATCTGCAATGCCCAGCAACTTCCTCCAATGGTTCGTGACATCAATCATGAAAGCTCCCCATCAGTAAAAATAAGTGAAAAGGATACCTTTTGAGATGATGTTGTTATGGTGCCCAGAATGGTTTTTTAAATTCACTTTGAATTACTCATAGTTCACACTTTAGTGAATAACCCTGAGAGTGTTTTGATAGTATTACAGTTCCAATAAACAAATAATGTCCAATACGTTCCAATAAGCAATAAACCAAAGTGTCCACCTTCAGCCATTTGAAATGTCAGGGGTCATTCCTAAGTTTTGCTCTTTGGACTAATAGCAGAAGAATACTATAAAAACACAGCTGGGTTTATCACTGAGTCATAGAGAATCGACACATTGCAAAATGCAGGTGAAAATAACCTCTTTCAAAATATAACAATGTAAAATTAGCATAAGAAAAGAGAAACAGGTATTTAAGCATGATTTTTATCTTTCAGATGGTAACAATAATATTGAAAGAACGTGTTGACTTTGCAAGGATGAAGTACTGAGTGAAGAAATTGCACCTGTTTCTTCAGGTTGCACTCGGACCCTACAGTTGGAATTTTAACCTAATGCCCTATCTCTTAATGCATGTTAATTTCTGCTTGGCTGAATCAGACTAACAGCCTTGTACATTGCAAGGACGTCACATACATAGTTTTGCACCTGACAATGGCAGAATGTCACATACGATACATAGTCTTGGCACATGACCATTTTTGTTCTCTACTATTCTAAGAAGACCCTACCCCTATACCCTCCTATTCTAAGAAGACCCTACCCGTATAGCCAGGGCCGGCTTTAGGCCTTTAGGAGCCCTGTGCGAAAAATCTTCACAGTGCCCCTCCCCCCATTCATGTTGTAATGTTTATGTTGTCTGTGTATGTGATAGGTGTGATGACTGTGTGTGATATGTATGCTACGTGTTGGCTGTGTGTGATATTTGTAATGATGCAGACAGCCACACCCACAGGCAGCCATACACATACACACATAGGCAGACAGCCACACACACACACACACACACACACACAGAGGCAAACGGCCATACACACACAGGAAGACATCCACACACACAGAGGCAGGCAGTCACGCACACACCCACACACAGATAGACAGTCACACACACACACACACAGGCAGTCACGCACACACACACAGACACACACACACACAGGCAGACAGTCATACACACACACAGGCAGACAGCCACACATACACACAGGCAGACAGCCACACAGACACACACAGAGGCAGATGGCCATACACACACAGGAAAACATCCACACACAGGCAGACAGCCACACACACAGGCAGGCAACCACACAAACACACACAGGCAGACAGTCACTCACACACACACACAGGCAGACAGTCATGCGTGCACACACACAGGCAGACACTGATAATCACATATAGTTACCTCTGTTCATTGTAGAGGCAGTGCAGGTCCAGGAGACTGTTTGTTGGGGAAGCAGGGACTCCTTCCTGCTTCCCCTGCAGCAGATATCCGGCACTTTTAGCTCTGCCCCGCCATACGGATGCTCCGCCACCGTCGCACAGGAAGCTCCGCCCCTGCCGCTAATTTATTTTATTTTTTTATCCCGGCCGGCCATGTGTGAGCTGTGTCGGCCACATGGCGCCCCCTGCTCCATGGCGCCCTATGCGGCCGCACAGCTCGCACATCCCTAAGGCCAGCCCTGCGTATAGCTTCCTATTCTATAAAGACCCTGCCCCTATACCCTCCTATTCTAAGAAGACCCTACCTGTATACCCTCCTATTTTAAGAAGACCCTACCCCTATACCCTCCTATTCTAAGAAGACCCTACCCGTATACCTTCTTATTCTAAGAAGACCATACCCCTATACCCTCCTATTCTAAGAAGACCCTGTCCGTATACCCTCCTATTTTAAGAAGACCCTACCTGTATACCCTCCTACACTAAGAAGACCCTACCCCTATACCCTCCTATTCTAAGAAGACCCTGTCCGTATACCCTCCTATTTTAAGAAGACCCTACCTGTATACCCTCCTATTCTAAGAAGACCCTACCCCTATACCCTCCTATTCTAAGAAGACCCTACCCCTATACCCTCCTATTCTAAGAAGACCCTACCCGTATAGCCAGGGCCGGCTTTAGGCCTTTAGGAGCCCTGTGCGAAAAATCTTCACAGTGCCCCTCCCCCCATTCATGTTGTAATGTTTATGTTGTCTGTGTATGTGATAGGTGTGATGACTGTGTGTGATATGTATGCTACGTGTTGGCTGTGTGTGATATTTGTAATGATGCAGACAGCCACACCCACAGGCAGCCATACACATACACACATAGGCAGACAGCCACACACACACACACACACACACACACAGAGGCAAACGGCCATACACACACAGGAAGACATCCACACACACAGAGGCAGGCAGTCACGCACACACCCACACACAGATAGACAGTCACACACACACACACACAGGCAGTCACGCACACACACACAGACACACACACACACAGGCAGACAGTCATACACACACACAGGCAGACAGCCACACATACACACAGGCAGACAGCCACACAGACACACACAGAGGCAGATGGCCATACACACACAGGAAAACATCCACACACAGGCAGACAGCCACACACACAGGCAGGCAACCACACAAACACACACAGGCAGACAGTCACTCACACACACACACAGGCAGACAGTCATGCGTGCACACACACAGGCAGACACTGATAATCACATATAGTTACCTCTGTTCATTGTAGAGGCAGTGCAGGTCCAGGAGACTGTTTGTTGGGGAAGCAGGGACTCCTTCCTGCTTCCCCTGCAGCAGATATCCGGCACTTTTAGCTCTGCCCCGCCATACGGATGCTCCGCCACCGTCGCACAGGAAGCTCCGCCCCTGCCGCTAATTTATTTTATTTTTTTATCCCGGCCGGCCATGTGTGAGCTGTGTCGGCCACATGGCGCCCCCTGCTCCATGGCGCCCTATGCGGCCGCACAGCTCGCACATCCCTAAGGCCAGCCCTGCGTATAGCTTCCTATTCTATAAAGACCCTGCCCCTATACCCTCCTATTCTAAGAAGACCCTACCTGTATACCCTCCTATTTTAAGAAGACCCTACCCCTATACCCTCCTATTCTAAGAAGACCCTACCCGTATACCTTCTTATTCTAAGAAGACCATACCCCTATACCCTCCTATTCTAAGAAGACCCTGTCCGTATACCCTCCTATTTTAAGAAGACCCTACCTGTATACCCTCCTACACTAAGAAGACCCTACCCCTATACCCTCCTATTCTAAGAAGACCCTGTCCGTATACCCTCCTATTTTAAGAAGACCCTACCTGTATACCCTCCTATTCTAAGAAGACCCTACCCCTATACCCTCCTATTCTAAGAAGACCCTACCCCTATATTCTCCTATTCTAAGAAGACCCTACCTCTATACTCTCCTATTCTAAGAAGACCCTACACCTATACCCTCCTATTCTAAGAAGATCCTACCCCTATATCCTTCTATTCTAAGAAGACCCTACCCCGATACCTTCCTATTGTAAGAAGACCCTACACCTATACCCTCCTATTCTAAGAAGACCCTACACCTATACCCTCCTATTCTAAGAAGATCCTACACGTATACCCTCCTATTCTAAGAAGATCCTACACGTATACCCTCCTATTCTAAGAAGACCCTACCCCTATATCCTCCTATTCTAAGAAGACCCTACCCCGATACCTTCCTATTGTAAGAAGTCTCCACCTAGTCATACCCCCTAGATAAGCTTTATATCAAAGATTTGTTACATGCCCATACCATTAAGTATGCACGAGCTGTCCATCCTGTTAGTAAGTTAATAATTGCCAATATTTGATTGGTCATGATACTCCCCCTAGACTCCCCTTTATTGCGTGTTAATATAAAACCTTTGTTCTGTTTAATTAACATCGGACATTTTCTAAACTGACTCCCTTTGTATGTTTAGCAATGTCTTCAAGTACTTGAAAGGGTGTGGCTCGATCTGGATGGAACTGTAAGACCATGGCACGTAATTCTGGTGATCACCAAGGACAGGAGTAAGGTTCTAACACCGGACCTTACGTACAGTATATTGTGCATCAGGGGATTTGGTTTAGGGGACAAATGTTTACCAGTTCCACTCACATGCAAGTCATGTATTGTGTGAGAAATTTCCTCACAACAGAAGCTCAGTTATGAAATAAACCAGCAGGTGACATTACTTCCTATAAAGAATCCTTATTTGCCCTGCAACAGTCTGGATGCCCAAAAACAGAAGTTGGCAGTGTTGTTTTTTTTGTTAATTCCTGTGTTTTGTAATAAAACTGGAATGAACAGCTACTTTGTCTGTATCTGTTAACATTCTTAATGAAGTCTTAAAATTAATCAAAATAATTCTGCATATAATCAGTGCTGATTATAAACCTTAAAAGCTCCGGTGAAGATAAAAATAGAAAGGGGAATATTCAAATCTAAAAATCAGGTGTCTTTAAATAACTCAATGGAATTTCCATCCATTATTAAAACTGTGCAATTTAGTAGAAATGATAAAAGCTAAAAACATTGCATGCAGTTCGCTTAGCTTCTTTTTATTTATGTGATCATTCCTTGCATATTTTAAACATCTGAGATGTCAGTGGCTAGAAGGTTCATAAAGGGATTATTCTACCTCCTGGAAAATAAAGAAAAATAATCATCGCTAAATATAGCATTAGGAAAATTATTTCTATTACTTTTGAATACCCCACGAAAAATGGAAAAAAGATTTACGTTACACTAAAGTTTTTCTTTTCATGTCTTCTCTGAATTAATTAAAACCCATAGGCATATTAACATGTGACACAAAGAAAGAATGATAATATTTATCAATTGTTCATATATCGCAGCTAAATAATAGATTATTCAATACTTAAGGTCAGGGCCGCCACCAGAAATTTTGGGGCCCCTAACTGAGCTCAGGGTCTGGGCCCCTGGGGCCCACCTCCAAAACCGCCCACAGAGACCGCCTCCAAATACCGCCCACAGGAATACACACACAGACACAAACACATTTACTGATACAAAAGGACACAGATACACACACACACACACATTGAAGACTTACGTCTATCTTCTGTCCGTACTCCCACCTCTGATGCTCGCCTTCAAGATTTCTCGAGGGCTGCACCGTTCCTGTGGAACTCGCTTCCCTCCTCCGTTAGATGCTCACCCAGTCTCCACTCCTTCAAAAAATCATTAAAAACACACTTCTTCATAAAAGCGTATCAATTGAACTGTTAATAGCTCCCGACTGATTCCTCTTCTGCAACTATCATTAGTCTAATACTATCCTTACCTTTTTGTGTAATTTTACCCCACTCCCTCTAGCATGTAAGCTCATTGAGCAGGGCCCTCAACCCTTCTGTTCCTGTGTGTCCAACTTGTCTGGTCACAACTACATGTCTGTTCGTCCACCCACTGTAAAGCGCTGCAGAATTTGACGGCGCTCTATAAATAACATAATAATAATAATAATACATACTAACAGACACACATACTGATACGCAAATAGGCATACACACTGACACACACATACTGAGATATACACACATATACAGACACACAGGCGTACATAGTGACAGACACATACATACAGACACACATGCATAAGGACATACAGACACATTCATAATGACATACAGACAGACATTTATACTGGCATACATACATTCATACAGACAGACAGACATACACACATTCATAATGACATGCAAACATACATACACTGACATTCATACACACATAATGACATGCATACAGGCATACAGACATGCATACATACATACATACAGACATACACACAGACATACATTCATACTGGCATACATACATTCATACAGACAGACAGACATTCATACACACATTATGACATGCATACAGACATGCATACAGACATATATATAGACATACATACATACAGACATACATTCATACTGGAATACATACATTCATACAGACACTGACATCCATACATACGCACATTCATAATAACATGCAGACATACATACACTGACATTCATACACACATAATGACATGCATACAGACATACAGACATGCATACAGGCATACAGACATGCATACAGACATACATACATACTGGCATACATACATTCATACAGACAGACAGACATTCATACAGACATACAGACATGCATACAGACATACATATATACAGACATACATACATACATACAGACATACATTCATACTGGCATACATACATTCATACAGACACTGACATCCATAAATACATACATTCATAATAACATGCAGACATACATACACTGACATTCATACACACATAATGACATGCATACAGATATACAGACATGCATACAGACATACAGACATACACACATACACACATACATACAGACATAAATACAGACATACATTCATACTGGCATACATACATTCATACAGACACTGACATCCATACATACACACATTCATAATAACATGCAGACATACATACACTGACATTCATACACTCATAATGACATGCATACAGACATACAGACATGCATACAGGCATACAGACATGCATACAGACATACATACATACAGACATACATTCATACTGGCATACATACATTCATACAGACACTGACATCCATACATACACACATTCATAATGACATACAGACATACATTCATACTGGCATACATATATTCATACAGACAGACAGACATTCATTCACACATTATGACATGCATACAGATATACAGACATGCATACATACAGACATACATACATACAGACATACACACATACATACAGACATAAATACAGACATACATTCATACTGGCATACATACATTCATACAGACACTGACATCCATACATACACACATTCATAATGACATGCAGACATACACACACTGACATTCATACACAAATTAATGACATGCATACAGACATACAGACAGACATACATACATACACACAGACATACATACAGACATACATTCACATACACATACACACACAGCTCATTTTCCAGCCACCCTCCTGCCTCTTACCTTGTCTTTGCAGGAGGGTGGCTGGGGCTGATGGGACTGGGAGTCGGCTGGCTCTCCCTCTTCATTGACCACTTCCTCCCAGCAGCACTTGCGTTGCGGCGGCATTTTTTTTTTAAAAAGGGGCCCGGTCGCGCTGTACCACGGCCACAGCGCTGACCGGGCCTCTGAAGATATGGGACCCATCGGGTGGTCCTAAGTGCGTGGGTCACCCGATGGGCCTCATCAGCAGTTCTGCCGCTACACGTGGGGCCCGGGCGGCTGGGCCCCACACGGCCGCCGAGCCCGTGACAACCATTATGGTTGTCACCCCCTGATGGCGGCCCTGCTTAAGGTGTACCCTGGTCAGGGTACAGCATGCGCAGAGAGGTTACTCTGCGCATTCAACCCACCTTTTCTGATTACATATTCCTGAATGCTTCTGGTAGGATCATTTTAATCAGTATTGTGCCCCTATTCATTGTATTTATATTGTACAGTTTAATTCAGGATTAAATTTTTTGTTATAAATTTTTCTATAGAGGCGGAGTCAAGCTACGGACAAGGATAGTCGCATGGCCGAGGAGCTCCCGACTAAAACTATACAAATCTGCTGATATCGAAGCCCAACACGGCCCAACGGACCCCAAGGTGCCCTTAACACACCTGACAACAATGGGCAGAAAAACGAAGAAGCCAAAGCCCGACAAGCCCCGTCAGGGTATGAACATAGGGGACATGTGGAGGCAGGCCCACGAGGCCACGAGTGCAACAATGGAGTCCCTGCATGGAGGATGTACAGACTTCTCGGATGAGACATCCGATGAAGGAGAAGGGAGCCTCATACCAACAGGCTTACCACCACTGCTTGAGAAACCTCGACCACCCGCTCCAACCCACACGCCGGTCACCATGGAGGCTATCACGGCACTCATGGCCTCCCACCACGAAAAAATTTCAACGGAGGTGGCAACAATCCGGAAAGACCTGCAAGGCCTGTACACCCGGCTGGGAACAAAAGGGCAGTACTCGACGCCATCAAGGGCCGGCCAACATACACCTTTGAAGAAATGTCCCTCACTTTCTATGCGGATTTATCGAGGGGCACACTGTCCTGGAGAAGGTCCCTCCGGCAGGTCACCTCTCTCCTACGGCAGCAACAGATCCGATACCGCTGGGGACCTGGCCGGACTCTGAGCATAGAGAGCGCAAGTGGCCCTGTGCTGGCCCGGAACCTACAAGAGGCCGCAGAGGCATTGGAGAAACTAAACCTCCCACTGTCAACCCTGGAAGCTGCATCAGCGCAGAGAGGCCCCACGAGCTGCAGCCTCGGGACACACTCGGCCAGTGCACCGGAATTTGTGCCAAGGCAAAGACCAGCGGAACCCTATGCGGCAGCCACCACTTGAACCGGGACTCTGAGCCTGGGACTGCTCACCGGGACGTTTTCTCCTTCTTCACCTACACAAAGGTGTGAACTCTCGCTCCGGCTACGGATCACGGGGACTATCAGTTTGAGCAACACCCAGGGTCCTCCA